CAGACTATAAAATTATTTTATGCAACTTAAATATAAAATTATACACACACACACACACACACATCTCTCTCTCTCTATATATATATATATATACACACATATTTATATAGATATTTGTATGCATGTATATATGTTTGTGTCTGTGCCTATATATATATATATATATATTCTAAATTGATCATATGTATTACAGCATAGTGCTCAAAACGAGGCCTGGTGTTTAATTTGTTTTTGATTGTGCTGTGTAGTTAAATATGAACACTAATTGTTATGGTATTTTTAGGTTTGCATCATATGACCTCCTGATGCGTTTCTGGGCCATGATTGAGCCCTCTCTGCCATCCATGGTCAGTGTTCGCCAAGGACTGAGAGGAACTGCCCTCAACTCCACTCCTTCAACTCGTACTTTGCAGCCCATTGATGAGTTCTTTATGTTTTTAAATTACCTTGCCCTTGGATCCAAGCAACGGGATCTCGCTGACCGGTACGGTGTCCATCAGTCCACTGTCAGCCGGATCATGAAAACATGGAGCAACTTTTTATTTACAGTATTAGGTTCTATTAGGATCTGGATACCGGAGGACCAGATACGCAAAAATCTACCAGCAGACTTCAAAGACTACCCTGACACTACAGTCATCCTTGATTGCACTGAGCTGAAGTGTCAGTGCCCATCTTCCCCTCTCCTCCAGAGTGAGGTGTTTTCATCTTATAAATCCCACTGCACTCTGAAAGGGCTGATTGGGATTGCACCTCATGGGGCAGTGACATTCATCTCAGGACTGTATGCCGGGTCTATCAGTGACAAGCAGATCACATGTGAATCTGGTCTCCTCACCCTGTTAAAACCAGGGATGGCTGTTATGGTGGACAGAGGCTTTCTTATTGATGACATTGTCCCCTGCAAAGTGTACAGGCCAGCATTTCTCTCTGGCAGGTCTCAGATGTCTGCAGTGGAAGTTAGAGAGACCCAGGCCATAGCACACCTCAGGGTGCATGTGGAGCGCCTCATTCGCCGAGTCAAAGAGCACAAGTTATTTGACTCTGAAATTCCCCTTGGTGTTTTTGGGATAATCAACCAACTGTTCACTGTTGCTTGTCTACTCACAAATTATGAAAATGGCCCACTAGTAAAGGCCTGGGCAAAGAAGCCTGACATCTGAGTAATAGCAAGAAAGTATACTATATATTTACTTTTCATTTTGTTACTTTTGTATTTAAAATAAAAGTAAATCATATTCATAAATATCTACATTTCTTATACTTTTTTTCCATTACATCAGTTATTATATAATGTTTTTTCATATAAGTCAAGCCTTCATGTGGGACATTAAAATGCATCTTTTCAAATGCCTGCAAAGTACCGTAGCATGATTACAGGGGCAGATATAAGTTTCTACTCTTTTTCATTCATGATTTTGCTTTTTTCTTTTGGTATCTATATATATATAAATATAATAGGAATTAATAAAATGAATAAATACATGAAAAATATTTTATGTTAAGTAATATGCTGTTAATCGTATAATTACAGTAAATGCACTAACAATGGCTCTTCCTGGAACTCCAAAAAGTATCAACTGTTCTTGCTAAAAAAATAAAAATAAATAATGCCACTCATCTAGAGCACAAAATGTTGAAACAGAAGCAGTTTGCAAAGAGGGTACTATTACGACAGTCAAGTAGCAAATTTCATACAGAATAAATTGTATCAGACCTTAAACAGAAATAACTCTAACTAATTAAAACTAAAATAAAATAAAAGGAACATGACTCAGGTATTAACAATATATTTAATCACATACAGGTCCTTCTCAAAAAATTAGCATATTGTGATAAAGGTCATTATTTTTCATAATGTAATGATAAAAATGAAACTTTCATATATTTCAGATTCATTGCACACCAACTGAAATATTTCAGGTCTTTAATTGTTTTAATACTAATGATTATGGCATACAGCTCATGAAAACCCAAAATGCCTGTCTCAAAAAATTAGCATATCATGAAAAGGTTCTCTAAACAAGCTATTAACCTAACCATCTGAATCAACGACGTAACTATAAACACCTGCAAAAGATTCCTGAGGCTTTTAAAAACTCCCAGCCTTGTTCATTACTAAAAACCACAATCATGGGTAAGACTGCCGACCTGACTGCTGTCCAGAAGGCCATCATTGACACCCTCAAGCAAGAGGGTAAGACACAGAAAGTGCTGAACGAATAGGCTGTTCCCAGAGTGCTGTATCAAGGCACCTCAGTGGGAAGTCTGTGGGAAGGGAAAAGTGTGGCAGAAAACACTGCACAACGAGAAGAGGTGACCGGACCCTGAGGAGGATTGTGGAGAAGGGCCGATTCCAGACCTTGGGGGACCTGCGGAAGCAGTGGACCGAGTCTGGAGTAGAAACATCCAGAGCCACCGTGCACAGGCGTGTGCAGGAAATGGGCTACAGGTGCCGCATTCCCCAGGTCAAGCCACTTTTGAACAAGAGACTGCATCAGAAGCATCTCGCCTGGGACTGCTGCTGAGTGGTCCAAAGTTATGTTCTCTGATTACAGTAAATTTTGCATTTCCTTTGGAAATCAAGGTCCCAGAGTCTGGAGGAAGAGAGGAGACACATAATTCACATTGCTTGAGGTCAAGTGTCAAGTTTCCACAGTCACTGGGGTGTCATGTCATCTGCTGGTGTTGGTCCACTGTGTTTTATCAAGGGCAGGGTCAATGCAGCTAGCTATCAGGAGATTTTGGAGCACTTCATGCTTCCATCTGCTGAAAAGCTTTATGGAGATGAAGATTTCATTTTTCAGCACGACCTGGCACCTGCTCACAGTGCCAAAGCCACTGGTAAATGGTTTACTGACCATGGAATTACTGTGTTCAATTGGCCTGCTAACTCTCCTGACCTGAACCCCATAGAGAACCTGTGGGATATTGTGAAGAGAAAGTTGAGAGATGCAAGACCCAACACTCTGGATGAGCTTAAGGCCGCTATCGAAGCATCCTGGGCCTCCATAACACCTCAGCAGTGCCACAGGCTGATTGCCTCCATGCCACGCCGCATTGAAGCAGTCATTCATGCAAAAGGATTCCCGGCCAAGTATTGAGTGCATAACTGAACATGATTATTTGAAGGTTGGTGTTTTTTGTATTAAAAACACTTGTCTTTCATTGGTGGGATGAAATATGCTAATTTTTTGGGACAGGCATTTTGGGTTTTCATGAGCTGTATGCCATAATCATCAGTATTAAAACAATTAAAGACCTGAAATATTTCAGTTGGTGTGCAATGAATCTGAAATATATGAAAGTTTCATTTTTATCATTACATTATGGAAAAAAATTACCTTTATCACAATATGCTAATTTTTTGAGAAGGACCTGTATATTCAAAGGTTTAGCTTTACAATGCCACTTTAATTGACCAGGCAAGCACTGAGGTAAAAATAAAAAAAGAAATGGTCAACCTTTTGTTTTATGGTTTGCAGTACTTCCATGTCACGAGGAACCCTCTCAATGAACATGTCATTTTCCGTGTAAATGACAAAGTCACACCAGTCACACCCTGAAATCAACATTTGTCCCTGGATCTGCCAGTAATATGGATGTGTTCGTTTGAGTGTCTGCCTACCATCCCTAATCATTATGTAAGAGCAGTCCACCCAGCTTGTCACATTTGGGCATTTTATTTCTAAAAGGCCAAACGGTTGTTGCTCCTCAGGATCGTAAATAATTCCATCTGGTGATGACCCCATCCATGGTGCGTCAGGATGGATCAGGAACCCACAGGGGTAGTGGTTGACTTCCCTTACCCTGCAGTACTCCTCTACTGCTGTTGGCTCTAAGGCAAGCCCCCGCCGCATGTCAGCAGTCTGATTGGAGCAGACCTGGGCATTGTACGGCCCCAGGGCCACATGCGGCCCTTTGGTTGACTCTGACCGGCCCCCGTAAGGGGAATTACAAAATGCATATGTAAACAAATGAAGTTAACCAAATCCAGATATAGATCCTCTCTCACTGTTGATGTCAGCTTTGCTTCACATCTCCACCTTAGACCTTCAACCTGACTTTAACATTTCCGTTAAAGCCCAACAGAGACTAGACTTCTCTCACTAAACAAGAAAAAAGAACTGATAAACACCAAATGAGATGTTTAGACTACAAATGTAGGCACGTAAAGAACCGGGACTCGAAATCACAGTTCAGTGACGATCACTATTATATGATGTTTCATAATATTTGGAGTACAAAGACAATATTGTGATATATTTACAAAGCTAAGAACTTTTTCCAGCAGTATATAAAACTCAAAATGAGTTTTGGGGTGAATGTGACTGAAAATAATCACTAATATAACGTCACAAATGGTAAAAATGTTAACAGTTTACCATTGTACTGGGAAATTTATTTGAATAAATGACATTTTTTGTAAGGAAACCTCGCTTTTTCGTTGCTTAATCATAACAAATACTCTTACCAGCTTGTTAAAACAGTGCTATGTACTGTGTTTAATAATGAAATACTATTAATATTATGCAGTATTGAGTTAAGTTGAAATCAGGTCTCTCTTGTAAATGAGTCCTCGAGGCTCAATGGGATTTACCGTCTAAATAAAGGTTGAATGAAAAAGTCATTTGTGCCAGCCCTCCACAATATTTGTTGTTTCTCATGTGGCCCCATGGAAAAAATAATTGCCCACCCTTGGATTGGAGGGTCTCAGAAGCCTTTTGGCAAGATTTTCAGAAGAGCTGTCACCCCTGGTGTGACAGACCTCCCTAAATCTTGTTGAGGTAACACGACACTTTCTTAGTTGGTGCCACTCTGCACAGAAACTCTGCTCCCGCGTGCTGCTCTCAATTTTGTGAGACATCTCTAATGTTGTCTCAAGGGACGTCATATGGTGGTGCTCTTGGTCTGAACAAACATACTCACAGGTGGAGGGTTCAAGCCTGTAATTGAAGAGTGGAAGATGTGGGGGAGAAGGGGTGTCTTGGTGTGGACGGGTCCTGGGAACTATCCTTGCTGGCAGCTGATATGACAGAACGCTTCCCTCTTGTACCGGACCAAACAAAGAGTCAACAAGAGGGACATCGTTGGAGACAGCCATTGTGGTTATCATTGGCGCTTCTTCAGCTGGAAGTCCCTTGTACACATCCTGTATCCTTAGGGTGGAGATGAGTGGAAGAGGGCTGGTAGCACCTTTATACAAGTTGCTTCTGTTGAGAAAAAGAAAAGAAAACTATGTCATAAACAAGAAATGAATATTCAAATGATAAAATTAATACTAAATGAAGCCTATGCTATTGTATTTTAGGGATTCAAATTATTGTCTTGTTTAAAAACGAAGTTGAATTATTTACTTATTTGCATTTTTAAAGTATTTCTAATATAGTACAAAATAAACTTCCATCCATCCATCCATTATCTTTTACTCGCTTCTTCCATTTTGGGTCACTGAGAACATGCAAACTCCACCCAGAAAGGCCCCCGGACTGGGATTTGAACCGGCAACCTTCTCGTTGAGAGGCAGCAGCTCTACCAGTTGCACCACCGTGCTGCCCACAAAATAAACTTAAGTGGTTAAATTAAGTTTTTGTTGTACAAATGTGTTCTGTTTTGTTTTTAAATTAAATTAATTAAAAAAATTGTGCATGTGTGTCATTGTGCATGTGTGTCTGTGGTCTTTAAATTAAAACAAACCTAATTCCTTCAAAGATTTTCCTCTCTCTTGGTCTTGCTGACAGGACGACCATGTCATTTACTGGACCAGGTTTTATGCCCTGCATCCAAAAACAACATTGCTGTAAATATTGAACAAAAATTCATAAACAGGATTAAAGACTCATGTATATGTAGTTACCATTGTCCTTGGTTTATGCCACTTCTGTTCGGTATCTGTGCAGCTTAGGACTGGAGGTACAGCTGGAAGCTTCAACTGGGAGTAGTGAGCCATCTGGAACAGCAGAGCTGCCACATGGCTGCACAAGACTGTACCTGCCACACAGGTGCACTGGCATCCCTGAAACTCCACCGGCTTTGATTCCCTCAGCACCATCTGTGTACAATACCAAATCGGCAGGAGGGCACAATTGGCTCTCTGAAACGGGTTTTACTTGAGAAACGTGGAAGGTGGGATGGATTCTCAAGGAGCTGGGGAGCTGTAGGCGCACAGCCGAGGGATTGATGATCTTATCTATGGTAAAGGGACCGATGAAGCGAGGAGCCAATTTCCTGGGAGTGTCCTTGAGATGAATGTCTCTAGTGGATAACCACACCTTCTGGCCCACCTGATAAGATGGTGCGGCGGAACGGTGACGGTCCGCGAACCTCTTATTCTGAGCTGCAGTGCGAAGTAGAGCCGTCCTTGTTTGGCGCCAGACACGTCTACAACGGCGGAAGTGGTGCTGGACAGACGGCACTGACACCTCTGTCTCCTGACTGGGGAACAAGGGAGGGAGATAGCCCAGTGAAGCCTCAAAAGGTGACATACCTGTGGCTGAGGAGGTGTGCAAGTTGTGGGCGTACTCGACCCACACAAGATGTTGACTCCAAGCTGAGGGGTTACGCTCCACAATGCACCTCAGGGTGGTCTCCAACTCTTGATCGCACCTTTCAGTCTGTCCGTTTGACTGAGGATGATAACCCGAAGTGAGACTGGTGGACGCCCCCAATGTCCTGCAGAAACAACGCCAAACTTGGGAAATAAACTGCGGTCCTCTGTCAGAGACCACATCTGAAGGGATGCCATGAATCCTAAACACTTGCTGGACCAAGATCTGAGCTGTCTCCATGGCTGACGGGAGCTTGGGTAGTGGGACGCAATGTGCTGCTTTAGAGAACCTGTCAATGATAGTCAGAATAGTGGTGTTACCTTCTGAAGGGGGCAACCCGGTGACGAAGTCCACTGAAATATGAGACCAGGGACGGCTGGGCATTGGCAGAGGCTGTAGAAGACCGGTAGGAGGCTGAGTACTGGTCTTGTTCCTAGCACAAGTGGAGCAGGCCGCAACAAAGTCCTTGACATCCTTAGAAAGACTGGGCCACCAGAAATGTCTCTTCGTAAGAGACAGCATACGTGCTGTACCGGGATGACACGAGAGTCTATTGGTGTGGAGCCAGTCGAGTACCTTAGACCTCATATTTGAGGGGACGAACAAAGTGCCAGGGGGACCAGTGCCAGGATCAGGTTCCGTCAGGTGGGCTTCACGAACCTCTCTCATAATAGGCCATGTAAGGGCTCCGACAATGCAGACCGGGGAGATGATGCCCTCAACAGGCTCAGGAGTGTCTGGAGGAGAAAACTGTCGGGAGAGAGCGTCAGGCTTGATGTTCTTAGTACCAGGTCGGAAAGTCAGCGTGAAGTTAAAACGGTTAAAAAATAAGGACCAGTGTGCTTGTCTGGGGTTTAACCGTTTAGCCTCTCTCAAAAATGTAAGGTTCTTGTGATCTGTCCAAATCAGGAAGGGAGTCTCTGTGCCCTCAAGCCAATGGCGCCATTCCTCCAAAGCTAATTTAACGGCCAATAATTCTCTATTGCCCACATCGTAATTTCTCTCTGCTTGGGACAAACGGCGGGAAAAGAATGCACAAGGGTGTACCTTGCCATCCAGGAGCGACCTCTGGGATAGGACCGCGCCGACTCCAGTATCGGATGCATCCA